ATAATATAATACTATGGAATAGCAGTGAAAAACCTTTTCTATTTTTCTTCATGCCACTATTTCCAGTAAAAGTAAAAATTTTCTTAAGATGAGCATCTCCACTGCATGTGATAGGTTCTGTAATATACTGTAATATTCTGCTGCCCTCTAGCCAACTACATGAGTTATCTGTTGCAGTCTGAAATTATTTTGGCTTCTTGCCTTTGTACATCCATGCTGAGCTGTTATTTGACAATTAGTTATTTTCACATTCAGAATTCAGCTATAAGCAAAATGGTAGTTTCACTTCCAAAATAAAACCACATCATGTGTCTGCTCATGTAGTCTTTGGTCTAAAGAACTCTTAAAAAATTTGTCAACCTGTCCTTAGAGATGAATGCAAACACTTGTCAGTAAAAGAAGCAGCAATGTTCTTTACCTAACTGATACCATTTTAGTGTGCAGTAGTTTTTGTTTTGTTTAGTAGTTTTATTATCATATTAGCATGTAGTTTATATGGGAGGTTATGGCTGAAAATCATTAATTGTATCACTTATTCAAGCTTTAATGCATATCCTTAACATAGCTGTTATATTTATTAGGTTAGCTATTAGCAAAGAAGGTGTTACTATTCCACTGGAGTGTGTTGGGAAGGTGTTTAATAGCTAGCATTTAATTTCATTTAAAGGAAGCTAAATAATTCAAATATTTGAGATAGGACCATATAATTACTAAGACTTTATGAAGTATTCTGATCTGTTCTGTAAGTTGCTCTGGGTTGGGTTTTTTACCAACTGCTTTAGCATATTCACATTTCAGTAAATTAGCTAACAACATTAGTCTTTCTTTCTCTAATTAGAATGAGTTGTAAGTTCCACTTTTGTTACCGAAGGCCCAGTCTGTTTCAGAAAAGGTTTGCTGAAATACAAATTAAAAAAATACCGGTGCAAGTACATCTGTGAGGGAGTGTTTTTTATTATATTTTTATATATACTTACTGAATTGTGTATACTTGTTTTTCCTGATATCTCTGGACATCGATACACATCTCATACTATGCTGCTGCAAAGGATGCTTAATTTTATAGACTATCCTAGCAGACATCTCAGGTTAGTGTGAAATAATTGCTTCTTTATAAGTTTGTGCCAGAAAAACCCAGATTCTACTCATTATTTAAATGTAAGAGGTTTAGATACTTCCTTGTATGTCTGAGTGCAGTACAGCTAAATAGGATATGCATCTATATGGAGATACATAGTGGCTTTGAAAATTCCGTTCCTTAATAACTTGCTGTATCAAACAGAAGATTTTAGGTCCATTTCTTTTGTGCATTAAACATTTTGCTTTGAGGTTCTCTATGCACATAGAAGTGAATAAATGTCCATTATCCTGGCTCTAAGTACTGGCCATTTGAATGTGTTTATGTGAATATAGTGCTATGCTTCATTTATGCTTAGAAATTACTCGCCCCAAACTTTTCATCTCTTGAGTGTCTTCATCCTTTCATAACTATGTAACTCACTCAACAACAGTATTTTTAAAAATTTGGAGAATTATGATCTTTTAAGATCTTTTCTTTGTAATCTTCTATGTTGAATTAAAATATCCACCTTTTCCTGGTAATATTTTTTCTTGTAGATATTGATTACGATTATCTCATGCAGGATAGTACTCATACTGTCACTTGCTGGTTCCATACAATGCATTTCTCTAATTTGGCTCCAGTTTGCCTCAGTCTTTGGTAATTTTGATGTATCAAGGGAAAATGTTACCTTTCTATTTTATTCTGATTAACAGATTGGGGTAGTTGGTTTGCACTACAGGCAGTTTAATGCTAATTAAAGATCTCTAGCATAAATTCTGCTAATCAAAGTCAACAATTACTGTGCGCTTTTCTTTTTCCTCCAGCTGTTGGTGAGAAGCAACAACCTTTCTGAAAAGATCACAGTTATTTCTGGAAAAATTGAGGAGGTTGCCATGCCTGAGTGTGTTGATGTGTTAATTTCTGAACCGATGGGTTATATGCTGCTCAATGAAAGGATGTTGGAAAAATACCTCCATTCCAAAAAATGGTTGAAGCCATATGGTGAGTGTGTCACCACAGTTGCTGCTTGCATAGAGAAATGAAGATAAAAAGTTTCTGAAAGAAGAAAATAGTCTTGAATTGGTAGTCCAGTATTGTCTGGTTTTATACCGTTCTTCAAGCTCTACCACCAACATCTAGGGGGTCCAGAAGAATTAATATAATGATGCATCCACCATTGCTATTCTACTTTGCTGTGATTTCTTGCTCTTTCACAGTGGAAATAGCTTTTGAGTATGCTGCTGTTGCCCTGCTGAGTTCTGCTTGTGTTTCAATGTTAACCTGCTGCTATACAGACTATGATTGCATCTCTGTTCACAGGACACAATAGATGATGGCACACTACCCTCAACTGCCAGATAGTGAAATGTAAATGAGAGCAGAATGATTGAATAGGATGAGCCGCTTGCTTTTTTTTTTTTTTTTGGGTGGAAAAACTCTAATGTATTGTCTTTGGGGAAATGTGAAGTTCAAACTGTTTTGACATCTTTTCACTGGGATTTTCTCAAAACCCTTATTCTAATACTTGGATGTTGCCTTTTGAGTGACATGAGAGATTCACAGCATTCAGTGCTGTGTATTTCATCCCTCCTGTGATTGGAGGAGTTTTGATGCAAAACTCTTAAGTTCCAGGACCTCATGGGAATCTTCGCTGAGAGGCAAATCTGAGCACCTAATTGCTGAACGATAAATCTTTCTACATGAACTGCTGAAAATGAACTATGAAGTCTCTCTTTAAAAGACTTTTTTAAAATAAAACTTTCTCAAGTAAAATTACTGCAGCATATAAGATTTTGTAGCATGATTTGAATCTGTGCCTCAATGCAAGGAGCTAATGACTTTGCTGTTGAGTTGTTTCAAGCTTACAAAGCATATTTGGGTAGTATTTTTTTTGGGTAGTATTTTTTGTGTCAGCCACTGATCTTAAGTCTCCCATCTCGATTCTTAGGGCCCAGTTTCAGATGAGGGCTTCTGAAATCTGTTCACTAGGCAGCTCATTTTCAGTCTTAAATGAGTGAATGCTTTTACAGACATGTACGTAACTTTCTGATTGCTCACTTCTACAGTGTGGATGAACTAAACTAAACTGTTAAGTTTAATAATCAGAAAATTAGTTGTATTAGTTCAAACTGGGACACGTGGTGATTATTAAACTTAACAATTGTCTAAGAAATGAGCTGAAATTGTGAAATTTTGAGTAAGTTACTAATATTTAGTATCAGTTAGATTTGTAAACTTTCTGTCCTGAATTCTTTGCAAACTTGTTAATATTCTCCCTGCAGCCAGTTTTAAAAAGCATGTCTAATTTATGAGTGGGTGTTGTTCTTTATTTAAATTCCTGTGGACTCTTTCTACATGATGTACTTACAAAAGGAAAGCTGTTTCCTTTTTGCTACCCTCCTTTATCTGTCCTTCCCTTTCCACTATGCATTGTGTTTTAGACCAGGTTAGAAAAGGGTGAAGTATGCTCAAATGTAGTTTAAAATGACCAGGCTTTATTTCCTGCTTCCATTGACACATGCACAATAGAATACAAGGGCTTTCATTTTAGCTGCTAGGTAATTTAATGCACTCTCCACAAAAAATAATGAAAGATAATTCCTCTGTTTTCCCAAGCCATTAGAGTGCTAGATGCTAATGAAAATGCATTCTTGCAAAATAGCGTATCTGGATTTAATTCCTTGCTCTGTCACTGATTTGCCACTTCATGCAAATAAAATCTTGTTTCTCAGCTACAGTAACTTTAAAATAATAAAAAATAGTGTAATACACATTTTTGTGTTTGTAAAACTTTCAGTGTTTACTCTGAAGTGCTATGAGTTTCCTCAGTAAACGTCTTAAGAGTGAAGTGCATATAACTACTTCATTCATTAACAGCAGTTCTTCTGAGCTTGACCAAAACCACACCCAGCAGTTTAATTCAAGATCAAATATGAGCCTTAGTGCGAATCCTTCACACAAATGTTATATTTATAAGGTTAGCTATTAGCAAAGAAGTTGCTGTTCTTCCACTGGAGTGTGTTGGGAAGGTGTTTAATAGCTTGCATTTAATTTCATTTGAAGGAAGCTAAATAATTCAAATATTTGAGATAGGACCATATAATTACTAAGACTTTATGAAGTATTCTGATCTGTTCTGTAAGTTGCTCTGGGTTGGGTTTTTTACCAACTGCTTTAGCATATTCACATTTCAGTAACTCGTATATTAATGAAATCAAATGTTGACAATTGCTGTTTCTGAAGTGGTGGTTTCTTGCTAGTGAAGACATTCCTGTAGAGATGTCTGTGGAACTATAGAACCACAAAATATCCTGAGTTGGAAGGGACCATAGAGTCCACCTCTTTAATCCATACAGTGCAACCTTAACATTAAACCATGTATTTGAGAGCATTGTCCAAACGCTTCTTGAACACTTGTCTTTCTAATTTATATTGTCCTTTATTTACTAGGTATGATGTTCCCAACATACAGTGACATTCATGTGGCTCCTTTTAGTGATGAGCAGCTGTACATGGAGCAATTGTCCAGAGCCAGTTTTTGGTAACAATTATTTGTTATTTTGGTTTTATCAATGATTCAGTAGAGATTAAATATTAAATAATTTCTTTGATTCAACATAAACTATCATCTGTCAAAATTGGAAGAGAATGCTTTTTGGTTTTCCATGTTTACTTCTGCTTTGGCCTACAGTCATACTGTTTATTGTGCAAGTCTGAAGGATCTCTCAGGAAGCACTAGAGGTGACTGGATCTCTTTTTGGAAGAGAAATTGACTCTGTGGAGCATCCATTGTGAGGAAGAGTTGACTGTGAATCAAATGCTAGTGTTTCCTTTGCTACACCAAAGCACAATACACTGCGGATGGTGATCATTGTATTGTCTGAAGTCCCAGGTGCATGAGCACAGGAAAGATTTCTTGGCAGTCTTCACAGAGAACAAGTTTTAATTCCCATGTCCTGAACAATTTCCAATTTGGTAGTTACTTTCTGTCGACCTAAATTTTTCAAACAGCTTTAACTAGAAGTTGTACTCCTTTTGCCTTAGAGTGTCCTACTGCAACTATCCACTGTGACTGTGCTCTATATAGGACAAAACATTTACAGCAATATTCTAATGAGAAGAAATTGAGATTATTTCATCTCAACAAAGGGCAGGTTTATTTTTAAGCATCTCCAGTCCTTACTGTGATACAGATCAGTTAATTTATAAGGTAGCCATTTATAGATTATTATTTAAAGGTTTTGGATAAAAGGTACTGTGGAACTCTGGTGTTAACTGATTTTAAATCTGGTGGAAGATTATAAATGTAGTCTTTCAACTGTTTTTTCAGCTTGCAAAGTGAAACATGAACATTAAGTGGACTTCATCAGATGTATTTGTTGGTTTCTTAAAGACAAAGTTTTCTTCCATGCCTAGGTTACAGTATAACTGCTCATACTCAAAAGGTTTCTTCTGGATGTCTCTGAAGTACAGTTATGACAAAATCTTACTGTTTCTATAGTGATTAAAGGAGTGAGAGACACTTGAGTGATTGACATGCTGAATCCTTTGCTGGTGATGTTACAGCCAGTTTGTGCTCATTTGTCTCACATGTAGGTTGAGCCAGTTATGAAATGTTTGCATTTTATGTATACAATCATAAAAAGGCAACACTATTTTTCTATGTTAAGAGACTGTAAAAAGAAGATAGAAGTAACTTCTGATAAGATTTCACATCTCAACTGTCATACTGGTCCTTCTTCCCAAAGATCCTGTTATTTTTGCTTATATACATGACATGTCAGTGATATATATTAGACTATAAATTACAAGACTGAACCACAACGTTGTACCACAATGCAGATTCTTAACCATTTAATAAATACATTTAATACATATTTAGTAGTCTGAAGCAGAAATACAGATTAGTTTTCCAGGTCTATATAGGACTGAATGTTACTGCCAATATGAAAGCATTCCATTTCAGACTGCTTGGGATGCTTCATCTTCATTTATAATAAATATAAAACCTCTGTGGAATACCTCTGAGGTAGATCCAGTGTTCGTATGTGTATCTCCCTGAACACTGACATATATGGTGATGTTATTGGTGGTGGGAATAAATCTGATGCCCTTTGTTACTTAATTGTACACTTGGGATTGAGCAGTCCAGCTAGATTAGTTTCTTATAGTTTGCTAACACAAATATACCATGTGCATTCTTAAAAAAAAAACAACAAAAAAAACCCAGACTTTTTTCAAGTCTGCTTTAGTAAGTTTATTTTCTTTGCATGAAGAATGTTTTTTTCATTGACATTATTATTACAGATTACTACAGATTGCAGTAATACTTTGTAATTGTGATAGTGATCAGGTTGGTATCTAAATCATGACATACTGCAGTCTCTCCTCTACCTATCTTTGCAAAAGGATGTCACCCATTTTTGACCGGTCTTTTTGTTACATTCTTCTAATTTTTTATGAGATTGTTTTAACCAAACTAACCACAGAAATGTCATGCAATTACCCTTGATTATGCTCTTTGTATATCACGTTCTGTTGACATATTCCTAGACAAAATAGTTTGTGTGCTTACAAAATAATTTATTGTTGTCTTGAGATGTCCCCTGAGCATCATGTCAGTTCTCTTATCAGTCTACATAGTTTTGTATGGATGTATGCCCAGGGCATTGATTGTGCAAGAGAATTAAACACTCTTGAGTTTACTGAGTGCTCTAAAGACCAACAAAGTGTTCTGGGTGAGGGTGCAGTAGTTCTGCTTATGTACCACTCTAGGACATTCATGTTCTTAGTATTATAAGGTCTATCCTGATAGACCTATGTACTCTGATAAATCAAGAGCTATAAAAATCCTTTTCCAGACAAAGCCCTTTCTCAGGGCTGTCTTGGATGTTTAAAGTAAACCATCAGGAACTAGTTGGTGACAGCCTGTAACTTGCTAAGCTTCAAATTCCAGCCCTCAAGAAGCAGCCTTCATTCATTGTCCAGCTTTGCTACTCAGAACAGAAGATGTGCTTTGTGTGTAATAAAACCTTTCCTATTTAGCTAAATCTGTATCTTGTGTCTTAGAGACTGGATATGGTTTTGGATCCAGTTGTATGATAGTACTTGAGCAAAAGACTGGAAGTAACCTAAACTTGCTATTTGATTTTTCAGCTGGTAAAGGCACCAGGACTTTAAATAACCTCCAAAGTCCTGTGCAAAAATCAAGCTGTATGTTTAAACATCAGATGCAGCAGTTAGCATAGTCTGTTAACTATAACAAGGAAAGGCTACATGTTTCTCATACTGTTTTGGATCTGTACAGTAATAATAATTATGAAACCATGTAAGTATGTTTTGTTTCTCTTCAGGCCTATAGATGGGCTTACTGTTGTGCTTCAGAGCTGCATATTAATTTGTATTTACCAGTAATCATTCCCACAAATGTAGGAAGTGTAGACTGCTCTCTTTGTTGGTGTAAACCTTACAAAGATAGAAAGATAAAAAGCATAAATATACAGCAAGTGGTTAGAAATAATGTGCATTTTTTGTGTTTCTCATCAGTGATAAATAAGCAACTCAATTATACAGTACAGCAGATGTATGGAGGAGAGTAAAAGATCACTCAGTTGCTGATGTCAGCTGATTTCCTCTGTTGTGCTTATTTGAGTTCTTTCCTTAAAGATACCTTCTCAAATATCTTTAAGGCAGTCAGTCATTTGAGCACCTTCTCTTTTTGCAAATAGCACACAACTCATATTGCAGAATTTATCAGTATTAAAAGGATATTGCCAGATTGGCATAGAGTAACTCACGTACTTTGAAAAAAGTTATGATAGTTTAGGAGTTGTATGATGTAACAATGTAAACATTTAAAGTGTCCCTTTTCAAGTGCTTCTGAAAACCTGGAAGGCTTAACTATGGTTTTGTATCTGGATGACACTTCTACCAAAAGGAGTTAAGCTTCTTTGCCATTTCTCCTTTTGTTTATCTTATCAGGAAAGAAAGATATCTATTAAAGTTTTCATTGGGTTGATAAGAGGGTTCTATGCAGGACAAAGAATATGTCTGTTTTAATTTCAAATTTCATTCTGGAAATAGCCTGAATATAAATAAAATGCACACTTGCCTAAATTGTTAAGATAAAAATACTATTATTTCCCCATTCAGTTGGTATAAGATTATCTTTATTTCCCACTTCAATGTCAATAAAAAGGAACAGACTTGTAATACAGGTGGTATCATCGCTATTTTTATTTATACAAGGTCTTCCCCCAATTCTGGAATAGCTCAAGATTACAAAAGTAGCTTAAGAGTGCCTCAGCTCTTCTCCCTGTTCTCTGCTTGCTGCATGGATACTTTCAGAAGCACGGTGTGAAATGTCTCCATATGTCCATTGAGCAGATCATGTCACCTTAGTGCTGTATAAGAAGTCTGTGGGGAAGGTAAAGTAAGCTAAGGAGGGCTGAAATTTGGCCTGTTGGCAAACAGGAGAAAGGAAAAGAGGTGCTCAGCCACACTTCACCTGCCATTGTGCCTAGGTCTGGTTAGAACCCAGAAAAAAACATTTTTCCCTAACCATTTCATGTGTTACTGTTTCTAGGTGCCAGGAATGGTTTTATGGAGTCAACTTGTCCAGTCTGCGCACTATAGCTGTGGAAGAGTATTTCCGACAACCTATTGTGGTAAGTTTGTATGTCTGGGACTTCCTCTTCCTCTGGAGATAGATTTTACTTCTTCAATGGGTTCACAGAGGGGAATGTCATACAAGCCTTTACGTTGCTTTACTTCTTAAAAGAGCATGTGAACAGTGATAGTTTAGGATTAGTACATGTGATTAAAGAAAGAAAAATGAAGGGAAAAGCTTTTATTTGCTGACTGACTACTCCTAACTTTTTTTCTAGAGGGCAATCTGTATTAAGTAATTTGGCTTTCTATACTTTCTAATTTAATTTTTAAGTATCTCCATATTGTCTTAGTTTGGCATGCCCAACTATGCAGTGCAGAAGACCACATTAAAATGTGTGTAGTTTAAAAACAAAAACAAAACCACCATTGTTTTTACAAGTGATCAATTTCTGGACAAATTTTATTGGTTTTGGGTTGAGTAAAATAGTCCTTAATAGGTATGTGAGCTATCAAACATATTACATTCTGATAATATTGCAAAACCTAACAGTGTTATAAGAGATACTAAAAAGTGAAACATTTAAAATAATTTTATTGGGGTGAAGGTTGATTTCTTCCCCCACTTTTTTAACAGAAAACAAGTTTATACAATGACACAAAGAATGATAACACTTGCAACTTCTCCTTTTTGGTGTTTTTTGTTTGGTTGGTTGGGTTTTTTGTGGTTTTTTTGTTTGTTTTTGGGGTTTTGTTTTGTTTTGTTTTGTTTTTTTTACCCCTATAGGATACTTTTGACGTGAAAATTCTGATGGCCCATACAGTGAAGTATACCATTAACTTTCTGGAAGCTGTTGAAGAAGATTTGCAGAGGTGAGCAGATGCCAGCATCCTACTCTTCTCTATCTTTCTTTACCTGGCTGTTGATTGTTGGTGCTCAGAGATAGAGGAAGCTTTGGTGATGAATGTGGAGGAGGGCAGGTGGCTTGACAGAATGATTAGTACATCACTTATAATGGGCTGCAGTGTTCATCTGCATGACAATTTGTCTTGTACTAGCAGAGCAGCCTGTTTGTGAGCCTGTAAAACACCAGAGATTGGTTCATTAAATTTTACTACTGAAAGGGATAAAATGGGCTCTGGAGGACAGTGTTTACTTCTTAGCATTATATGTTGGAATACATTAAAATGTAGTTAAAAGGCGATCTTTGTTTTTCTGTGTAGACATCCTAAAAGAATTTTGTCACATGCTGTCCTCACAAGTTGCCTTGCTGAACTCTTGTGTATCTGAGTTTTTTTAAAAACATTTTCCAGTCTATCAGGAATCAGCTGTACCTCTTTATTTTCCTCCAAAGCTCCTGCAGATCTTTAGTTAAAAAGTCTTGCACATAAACCAACCTGCATCCTTGTGGCCCAGAATGACCACAGAGAAGCCTCCTTCTCAGTACATCTGTGAAATAAAATGCACTGTATTGTTGAGGAAATACGTCAAGTCCTTGTAAGAGACTGTCATAAGGTGAAAATATCACAGATTGTCTTTGAAGCTCTGAACCCTTGTTGTTTCAACATGACTCACAACTAATTGTGTAAATGAAATGGTCTACTGAGAGAGAAAAATTGCTCTAAGAGGGGGAGAAACAGCTGGAGAATTGCTTTCCAGTTTCAGCTGACTAGCATTAACTTTCTTCAGGGGTTTTCAGAACTACTATGTTCATACTTGAATGCTAATTTTAGGATATATTTCTGCAAGTGTGCAAGAGATTTAGGTTCAACTACATAGCCAGTAAAAGTTCTTTTGGAAGGGAAAATATTCCACCTGATGCTCAAGTGGCTCAATTTTTCCTTCTGGTTCAAGTGGCAGTTCTGTTTGTCATATTTGTAGTGGAACATCTTCCTGTTAAGAAGAGTAGTTAAAATAAATCCAAGTCTTTTACTGGGAATGGGAAATTTTTCACTGGAAAGACTGAAACCCTGTATTTGTAACAGTCTGTAGTGTTGCCACAAATGAAGCAGTAACACTTGTGTAGTGGAATATTTGATTCTACTATCAAATGAGGCACACAAAAAACTAACACTTAAATCAGTGCCGTTGCTTAGCTCTGTTGACACAGAGAAAAAGACCATATCCTTTTCAATGAATGGAAAATTGAGACATAAACCGATTAGTAAGAATGGAAATAGAAAAATTAGTACAAGGTAGGTTTCTGGTGGAATTTCCAGTACTTCTTGGAAATTACTTTGGCAGCATATTATTTTTTCTTCTGCAGAGTGGAAATCCCTTTTGTTTTCCGAGTTGCACAAACTGGATTGATCCATGGTCTGGTCTTCTGGTTTGATGTGGCCTTTGTAGGATCGCTGTAAGTATATTTTCCTTCTTTCTATGAAACACTACAGTGGGAAAAAAACCCATGTATTTCATACAGAGTGTGTCAGAATTAGACCTTTATCTGGTGCTGACCTTGTTTGTAATATAATTCCTTCATATTAAAGAAATTTTGCCTTCTAAAGGTAACAAGAAGTGTGGTAACCTAGTGCTAGCAGTATGTCTGATGTATGCTTCCCATTGGTTGGGGTGCACATTATCTATGGCACCTGCATCCAGGAATGGTTGAGGGTCAAAAGGCACTGTTCCACACAATACTGAGTCTTTGTAATGCTGTATACCTTTCTGTTTTACACTGAAAGTAAAGCAGCAGCATTTGAACGTAAGCTAGGTTTTCCCATTTGGATTGGTCTTGTTTGTCAGCAAAAAGGAGAGCAGGTTGCAAGTTCTAGCTAACAAAACAGAAAGAAAAATATTCACGAGGCTTGGGAAAATTTTTCACTGCCAAACCAGGCATTTATTTCAAAATGGGACATTCATCTTTTATAGTAATGAGATGAAAATTAGATAAACTTGCTCAGGTAGTCAAGATACAGATTTCTGCTATCTGTATTCAGCTCTTAGATAAGACTTGTTGATTTCCCAGTTAAATTGACCTAGTTCAGTTGACTTTTTTCAATAAATTTTAAAATGTGCTTCTATGTATGTGTGTTAATAAATGTCTATTATTTTCTTCTCAAATAAGGATTGTCAAGAATTCAGAATAGTATTTCCATTAAACAAAAAGCTTAATTTCCTGTAATTTGTTGAAATTGTCTGAGTGGTAACAGGAGAAAGAAATTAGTATTCTCTGTCCTGGCAGTGTGGAAAGAAGAGAAAACAGGAGTCTGAAGTGTCTCTTTTCCTAATATCCATAATTGGCTTAGGCATACAGATCTAGTGATGACAGGTACAGTATAGATAACGAAAGAAAATGAGGCATAATGTATTGATTTCCCAACATTGGGAAACTCTCCCAGTTTACTTGAAGGCAGTTTAAAGTTTATTATAGACAGTTGAGGCCTCTCACACGTAAAGGTCTAACAACTTGAAATTGTTTCCAAAAGGATAACACAGGAGAGAAACGCTAGACAGCTTTTCTTGTTTGTTTCAGGGTAACTGTTTGGTTGTCCACTGCACCTACACAACCTCTCACTCGCTGGTATCAAGTACGCTGCCTTCTTCAAATACCACTCTTTGCTAAAGAGGGGGAAACTCTGTCAGGCAGAGTCTTATTTCTTGCCAATAACCGGTAAGTGTAAAAGCTTCCCAAGCAAATTTTGTGTTGTGGCTGCTCATGTTAGAGGTACCTCAAAGACACTAGTTGATTTTGAGTATGCTTACAGCCACATTTTTTTATTTCTGGTACCACAGTATCACTGATACAGTTACTTAGCCACTGTTGGTCTTGTAAGACTCTGCTCACCAAAAGGTCTTCATGTTTCACTCCAGTTACCTGTGATGTGCCTTCTCTTTAACCACCTGTCACATCCTGCCTTCTCTCACAGTTGTACTCGCAGCTTTTGTCAGCTTTCCACTTCGCTGTCTTTCACACAGCAGTTTTCTCAGGTAACGTCCAGTCATTTTCCATATCTTTTTCTGGTAGTGTAACCTCTGGCCATGTCTTGGTTAGCAGCCTGGTTGTTTGCCTGAAGCCCCAACATCCCTTGTCTCTCCACTTGTCTCTCCATTTGGGATTATCCCAAATCAATACATGTTTAATTCTGAAAAAAAAATCCTTGTGGATGTGCTCCCTATTAAAGAAGGGTCCTTTTCAAGTGTTGCTAGTCCTTCCACTGAGACTAAGTGAAGATGGCTGCTTTTGGAAGGGAATATTTCCTCACCAGACTTCTCTGCTGTTCCTCCTGTTAGTCAAATGATTGCTAACTACACTCTTATGCTTTGCTTTGAAGAAAATACTCAAGTGACAGGATCACACAAGTTGCACACATTTAGGACTTGTCAGATTTCCAGATCCTCTGCTTAGAAATTCCTTATGGAAAAAATAAATAATACAGATCTTGATATGTCTCTTTCAAGCTCACGTTTTAAAAGAAATGCTGTATCCCACAAAGCGATCACACAACTACTGCTGTAAATGTTGATAACACGAGGCATACCTACAATGGAGCACACCTCAGTGACACCTGAGCTGGTGCCCTTGCCAGACTGAGAACGAGAAGCACTTTAACCATGTGTTAGCACTGAGCTAACAAGTCCTGCCACAAAACTAATCTGCTTTTGTGATCAACAAAGCACTTTTATGTAACTCTGCAGTTGCTGTTCCCTGCAGGAGGACCAGCTTTGGTCAGCTTCAGCATTTTGGTATACTCTTAGTTGCTCGGTTGGTCCTCTCTTTACACTTCTGTGTAAACAGCTTCTTGCAGAAAGTCCTATGACAAATATCCTTCCTGGTGAAATCTGGGATTATGACATTAGAGAACCTAATGCTGTTTGGCCAGTTAAGTATCTTTGATCATGAAATAATACTCTGATTGTACTTGCTAATGTTGAAATCCACAGTATTTCTGTCAGAGAGGGGAAAAAGACCTTTCACTATTGAATACTATCAGTACAAAATTATGATGCAAACTCTTAAAATACACTTAAGCATCCTGTGAATTTTACTTCTTTAGAGATTAATAAGTAATCAAGCACTGATACCACTGCAAATAAATTTCCTTTTCTTGTTATACTAAGGGGTTATTATTCAGACAGTAACTACACTGGTATTTTTTCAGACAAGATGTTTTAATTGTTTTAGTTCAATTACCTTTTTTTTTTTTAATACTTCTCTTTCTGATGCAGACATAGTTATGATATTCAGATTGTGGCTATGGTGGACCAGACAGGATTTAGATCTGGTAACATCATTGACTTAAAGAATCCGATTTTCAGGTAAGAAATGCTTTTGAATAAATATAACATTGTAGAGTGGTAACATCTTGTATGACGAGAAGCAAAGCACATCTGCTGTGGAAGGAACAAGTTTCTGACCTCTTATGGTTTATTCTATTTCTACAGATATGCAGGCATCATTGTTTTGTATTAGCAGTAGTTACTTATATAAACCAATAGTCTATTCAGCCTGTGTGACAAAGAGAAAAAGAAAAAAAGCTTTGTTTAAGATAAGTAGTGATTTAGTGGTGTGACAAAATAGGTAGTCATTTACTTACTTGAACTAATATAAGCTTAAAATCTTTTGATATTTCCTGTTGTGTGATGAGTATCATTATGACTCAAGGAATCAGTAGGATGCCAAGATGCACTCTGCTGAATACATAAATTGATATTACTATTTCACATGAAGGACATGTCCTTTCTATATTAAACATGAGGTGAGGTGCTGCAATCCTTTCCAGCTGAGAAGGGACCTTCATTAGGTGTTGATACAGCACCATATTTCCAGAAAAGCTGTCAGTTACAGATTAAAAAAAAAAAAGGTAGGAGGGAGGACTCATCAATTCTTCAAAAAGAAAAAAAAAAAAAGATTTTTGATAAAAACAGGCTGTGTTCTGTTCTCATTCATATGCTGTATTTTGTGTAAAAATAGGCAAATTAAGCTGGTGAAATTGATTTCTTTTTTTTTTTTGTTATTTCCAGAGGTTTACATGGAAAATGCTTCCATCATTCATTATGTGTTTCCCATTGCCCTTTTTTCTTTTTCACTCAGATCTATATGACAATTCCACAGTAATCCTATAAAACAAAATATCCATTGTGTCTCATGAAAATTGATTGTTGTCTGTACATCAAATGTGCGGTACATCAGTAGTTTTCATAGAATCACAGAATCTTAGGAGTT